TATGCCTGGTTGCCTTTTCGTCTCCTCAACGTATGTCCCACCTCGGGATGACCACTCTCCTCATCCCCGCGTCCGCCGGAGTCAATCCCGCACATCGTCAATCAATCACCTTCCGGATCCACTAAAACCATCCCTATTTTTTTCGCTGCTTCCAACGACATCCGGTCTGATTAACAACATAATCTTCTGCCATGTATGTCTAAAAAGTACTTCTTTGCTGCCGTGTGATGGATTATGGTAAATATGCCGATCTGACATCCCTGTGAGAAAGAAAAAGGGACAGGGAGAGAGGGGGGGGTATATGGGTATGCTGTACGTGTTCGTGGAAGCCGGTCACCACTGCGGCACGCCATTCCCTAATTAGAGGGTAATATGGGTATAAATTGCCGTGACATGGCTGTTTTCGCGAGAGAAACTCGCAGAATATTGTTATTCAAACTAAAAAGTACTTCGAAATAATACTGCAGTCTTTTGAGGAGGTATTATTGTACTGGGGAAGTGGCTTTCCTGGTTTCGTGAGTGCAGCTCATTCTCAACTCGCCAACCTGCGTATATATGTATATGTAGTGCTGTATAATAGTGGTTCTTGTCTTTAAAAAAAAAGACCTTATAACGATGGGGCAGGGCCTGTAATAAAGCTAAGGAAAATGTCAGATTCGGAAAAACAAATGAAGAGTATATCACTTATTGCTTCATTGACCAATTCTGACTTTATACAGTACATCTATGAAATGCACTTCATGTGGATTCAAACCTCGATTTTCTGAAAATTTGGCACATGAAAAATATTGATCAATATATTGGATCCTGAAACTATTTCAACAAGTAGACAAGCTTATATCTGTGCAGATTTGTAAACATTTTATATTCTGCAATATTGTTTGGAATCTTATTATATATTGCAGAGAGCATACACATAAAGTGTTTCTCTTAATTGGTGCACTTTCAATATTATTGCATACATGATTCCATCTTTAGTTCTTCAAGTATATCTTTGCAAAACAGCAAAATAGCACAGGTGTGGATATAAGCAGGTTGTCCTCATTCTGGAAGTAAGAAGAAATTCAGATTACTACAGTTAAGAATTTTTGGATATATAGGACATCACTTGTTTATTCTGAAGAACTAATTGTTCTGAACACTGAACTATTATAAAAGGCACAGTCTTTATACTATTTTGACATGTTTCAATAATATGAAATTCAAATTGCAGGGATATATTATGAATAACTGACAAAACATTGTAATCTAGACAAGGTTTGTGCAAACTTGAAAAATACCAATGGCTCTTTGATGAACAGCAATCTTGTTGATGATACTTGCACAATATGACAGATTACAGGATTTTCAGGACATCATGAATATTTACCAGCTTTGCATGTGCTAATATTGTAGTGTGCAACTTTTCATCTAAACCTTAGCCAATATATTGACAATTATTTTTTGGAATATTGTGACAGAGACTCCAAACTGTGTCCAATCAAACTGGCACAATTTTCACATTTTCTACCCAAGACCATCATTTATTTTTTTTCAATTTCTCATCAACTTGACAAGCTGACACAAAACTTGAATGTACTGGATATTGTATACTGTATTTAACAATCCTTAATCATAAATGATCCCAAATAAGGAACGCTCTATAAATTTTAATGTTTAACTCTGGGTGGTAAATCCCACATACAGTCAATCTACATATACTATAGAAAAGGTGGAGAAAAATTTTGGCATTTGTATAAATGCATCATACATACTTTTGGGAGTACATTCTGAGTTGAATTGAATTAAACAGCAAGCTTTATTTTCATACTTTCAGCATTCACATGGTTCAGGCAATGTTCCCACATCCAAACCCCCTCCCCTTCCCATCCCCAATCATCCAAACACATTCCATCACATCAGAATGGAAAACAGAAAAATAAGCTGCATGTGGATATTAAAGGAAATTAAAATACATCACAAAATGTACAATTGCACAACTGATGTAAATACATGCACTTTCTTCCCTTCCCTGATGACAAAAGCAAAATATCAGCACTAAAAATTTGCAACATAAGGCAATTACTGAACCCAAGTTAAGGCACACAGTGTTCAGCCAACTCACAGATAAGTTTTAGTTGATTAAAATTTTTTGGAGAGAATGTATGATGAGAATTTAGATAAAGTATAGACAGTTAATCTTGAATGTAAGAGTACACACATTCAAAGGCTCTCCAGCAAACACACATCCAGTGATTGAACCATCACCTCCTGCATTGCACCGCATATACCAATGCAATAAAAAAAGACTTGAAATATATACAGTATAACACGCAAGATGGCACGTTTCCTACTAATACCTGACACGCATTCGTGTGGAAACCCGGGAACCAGGGTATTATAAGTCACAGCCAGCAGCAGAAGAACCAGTTTTCTTGCCATTTCATCTTTCCGGTTTTTTTCGGTCTCCTGGGTGCACAGTATATATACTGTATATATGTCTGTGTGTATTTTTTTTTAGCTTGCGATTTATGTGCAGCACACCTCGCGAAATGTTCAACAACTGGCAAAACCCGCGGGAGCAGCACAGTCAGGGGTTTTCTGGGGATCCAAAGCCTTGAGAGAGAGAGTCCAGAAAGATATCTTTTTTTTATTTTCCTGAAGAGGAAGTGTTTTTCTGGCCTCTCTTGTGTCAGAGGAGCTGACATAAGACGACGCGCGAAAGGCATGCAAAAAGGTGGCCCTATATATAAATGTGTGTAGTGTAGGGCTGTACAGTATTAGTACATAACCTGGAGAGCCAAAGCCTGCAAATACAGGAAGAGATCATTGTATATTTTCTACATAAAAATACTCATTCCCTTATTGTGCCACAGGATCTGAAAGGAAAAAAAATGGATGCAAACAGATTCTATCTAAAAGATAGTAGGTGTACATAACTTGGGAAACTAAAAACTTCAAAGAGACAGGTTCATTTTCACCAATTCACTTATAAAATTAGAATGTATACAAAACTATGTTGTCTGAATTAATTATTTGAAGAGGTCCTGGCATGCAGAAACACCAAAAAAGGACTGACATTAAACCCACGTTGAAACAAATGTGTAAAAATCTGTGCAAGTACTGTACAAACATTTTTTCCTTGGGTTTCACCTTCATTTTTCAAATTTTGTCAATTTTATCTATCTTTTTTCCTTTGAAAGTACCAATGCTGAAATTGCTGTCATATCAATGTTAATATGAACATAATTGCTCACTTATTGAATCATTTAGATTAGAGCAATCAAATTTTCATACTAGCATCTGTTGATGGAAGTTTCACTCACCTATACCCTTTCTGAAATCTTAAAGGAACAAGATAAACTGTTGGCTTTATATGATTTCTCATCAAAGATTATCTGTAATTTGTTCATTCAACTGAACCTCATACAAAAACAAGCTGAAGACCTCGTGCTTTAAATTAATTTTTACATATATTTTGTTACCCATGTCAGGGAATGAATGGGGGTATGCATACATGTCAGATGTCCAGTTGTATTTCATGCTGTGGGTGTTACATCACTTTGACACTTTCAAAAACAAACTTTAAAAATGTTTTGTAAGCCTTTGGTCTGCCTAATAATTGTTTGCTTGAATTGTCAATTGAAGCTTCAATTGAATTAAATTGAAGCAAATATGAAATTTTTGTGTCAACAAAATTTTGGCTTGTTAACAGAGATTTTTCTTTGAAAACAATAGTTTGTTGAACCAAGGGTTCCCTGTACAAGGTGTAAAAAGTGATCCTCTCTTTCTGTTCTACCAGTCTCAACTGGCCTCAACATCAGAGTCTCCAGAGTGCAAATGGCCTCAAAAATGCAACGAGACAATAGCCGTCCGAAAGCCTCAGCACCACAAACCCGTCGCCGCCGTGGACGACCCCTCCTGGAACCCTGCAGCGACATCTTTCGGCGACAACAAGGAAACCTCGTCTGTCCCTGCCAAATTCCCGAGCACCGCATTACCCTACGTGGTTGGAGTTTTGTTCACACTGGCCATTGTTGGGCTTGTTGTTCTCGGTGTTTACAAATGCGTCATGACACGGATGCCTCGAGGTCAATACCGGAAAATGGATTTCCTCATCGACGGAATGTACGACACGTGAAAGCACTTAATTATTTTTTCTTTTTGACTGTGACTCTGGCGAAGCGGTTTTTTTTTTTATACTTTTGCTTCTTGCCGAAGACGATTCTTGGCTTGTTGGAAGAAACGAACGTCATGTGATCAGGACTATCGATGTAAGGTTGGTTGAGCTATTTTTTCCCCCCGCGAAAATTGTGCAACTATTAACAGCTGGTTGAATGCGAAAAAGACCGATTGAATATTATTTTTCAATACTGTAGGAAATTATGAAATCAAATTGTACTGCAGAAAGACGTTCTCCTTCGATGCCCGGCGAATTTCAGCACGTTAAAAAATTCTCTCGATGCATCTTTGAATGCCAGAGCAAATTATTAAATTTTTTTAGGGTTGCGTTGGAATCCCATTATTTGGCACGAATCAGCGACATTCAAGAAAATCAACAGTGTGAGTAAACTAATTTTTTTGTGTGACTTAAAAGTTCAGGAATTGTCGTTGCGTGCATGTTGACAGGTGATTGATTTCCCCTGGCTGTGAATCTTTCCGATTTGGGAAAACAATCGAGGTTCGTGTTTGTTGACGCGCGTTGCGAGTTCTTATCATTTTTCTTTTTTTTTTGTGTTGCAAGGTCGTGATCTGAGGATGATGAATATGAGACATTAATGCGGACAGCTATCCCTTATCAATCAGCCCCCTCTTTTTTTCTTTTTTGTTGGCTTCTGACGACCTTCGATAGAGTGCTAATTCCGCATTCCTCACAATTTGTGATATATTTACATTCATCCGCGCTGCGTCGTGTTATTAGTGGGGATGAGTGAAATAGATTAAGCAGGAAGTGATTCCGTTTCAATTCTTGTGGGTGATCTTTTGCTGTTTTCTGATATTCTCGCGTTTCAGCCTTTGTGATGCATGAAATTGAGGACGAACTACCAGTGGGGCCCCGAGATGCGGACGCCATTGGTGCTTGGACTTTGTTTGTACAGTCAAACCCCGATAAAGCGCCACCCTTGCCAACTGCCAACATGTTGAATGAAACAAATCTCCTCTATGTTAAATTCTGTAGAAAACCTCAATAAGACGCCATCTGCCAGCATTAGTGATGATACAAAAGTGCTGTTTAGTTGTCTTTGTTACAATGCCAACATTGGGGTAGAATTATAATTTCTGCCAAGGATCTTGTATTTGTACAAAAAGTAATAATAATGATCATTTTGTTGAAAATTATATTGACCTAATCTTAAAATTTGAATGAATTGATGCAGCAAAATTTATTTTCTGAAAGAGTAATCCATTGATCACAGTAATATTCTTTGATAAATTACTGAAGTTTCTTACATAACCTGAATCTGTATGACTTTTGGAGGAAAATCAAGTATTTTTGATCAAATAATTAAAATTAAATATTGGATAAACCACCAACCTCTTTTAACTTTTTAACTGCCAGAATTGCTCTGTAAAGATGGTGGCGTCTTATCAGAGTTTGACTGTATGCTGGAACGTCCGTATGTTGGATCACGTTTTCCCATTCAATGCAAGCGTATTTAATTTGTTCTCCTGTTCATCAAAAATTAGGAATAAAGTCCCCAAATGATTGAATAACAATTTTTTTCTCAATTTGAAGATGCAGAAAATAACTGTACTAAAGAAAACCCTAAATAATCTGATCTTTTGGCATCAAAAAGAGCTCAACAAGTCTAGCTATACTTTGCACACATGATGGAAAAAACTTCTGAAAAACAAAGCAGGAGATTATTGTTTTTTTATTTTGTATTAGAGTAATTTTAAAATGAAAATGTTGCAAAACTTGTTTTGTTCAAGGGAGATCAAAATCTAGAAAAAGACAATTTCCTAATTTTTCTAGAAATATTGAAGAAAGTGTCTGTAACTTGAGATATTGTCCTAATGTTAGGGCAGACTTTTTAAATCTTGAGTGTGCCTAAGTTGAATGTCCGTATGTCGGGGTCCTACTATCTTCTCACTTCTACTCCACGGAAGAAAACGACGTCATGATGAAGAAAACACCGGGTGCCGAAATGATGTCACTGTCGTATCCCCTTTTTTTCTGGTACATTGCATAATAAAAGACAATAGAGAAGTTATGGAATATCACTATTGGGGACGAGAAATGAAGCATAATAAGAACCGATCCTTGTCCCGACGGCCGGAAGATCCGTCCTGCAAATCTCAGTTAAAATGAGTTGCGTGCTTTGATCCAAATAGCGATTGAGGTGATTGGAATTTATCCCAATCAAGGTATTCGTCGTGACTGGTCGGCAACACTACCGGGCGTGTTGACCCGGTGGTCGTAGTGGGACCTTGCACTCTTTTCTTACAATGGCAAGCATAAACTAAGTTATCATCAACTTGTTATTTTACAATAGTGTCGTTTACCGTAAAAGAAAATTTCTCAATATTTCTAGAAATGTTAGGAAGTACTGTATCAGTATCTGGAGACATTGTCCAGATGTTGGGACAGACTTTATCTATTTTGAGTGTGCCTAAGTTACATCAAAATTTTTCAGTGTAACAAACTTGTTCCCAAGTCCCAGCAGAATGTCCATAGAGTACAGGTGGTACCCCACAATTTGACCCTAATCCATTGCTGTGCTAGAGTTGAATGGCAAGACAACATCAAATGCAATGTTTTCTACATTAAATTTAACATTTTGCATCTTTCTGCAGGTCAAATTACAAGGCAAAGTTCAAATTGCAAGTTGACCTCCTTGCAAATTTCATTGGCAAATTGTGGGATGTCAAATTGCAAGGTACAGTACCATCGGTAGAGGTTAAAACAATCTTGTTGAAACAAAACTTCCCAATTCCAGCATAAAACATTTTCTTGGGAATGTTTAATGGATTGTCCAGGTGGAAATTTCCTGACTAAGGCAGGTATGCAGTTAGAAATGTCTGATCCAAAATCTGACTGTCTGACTGATTTTTGTTTCATGAATGGAAGCTTGAATCATTGAAAAACATATTTCCAAGTGGTTCCATGCATCATCCTCCTGGAATGAAGAGATTGGTGCAACCCATGGTATGTATCATTGAAACTGATCATTTTCTGCAGAAGATCACTCACTTTTTCAAACAATAATGAAAAAATCTCAGTATGCCAGAAAACCCGGATCTGATTCATTTTAGGCAGGTCTGATCTGAAAATGTTGTCCAGTCATTAATTTTGAAAATCTCATCATAAAAACTTGTTCAGTGCAAACATTTTTTTTTGATAGGATACCCGAAGGTTTTTGTGACAAAATTGAACTGTACTGTACGTTGTTTTTTGCTTACGTAACAGGGTGTTTCAGAAGAATCTCCGCCATAGCAAATGTTGGTGGTTTGGATCGTGTCTGCTTCTGCCGCAGTACTGCCTGATGTCCACCTGTCCCTGCAGGTCTGCAGGTTCACCACGGGTACTACCCCACTTCGGAGTTCACTGGAGTAAGCTGGATGCAGAAGAAGGAACACATTATACTGTAGTGATACCCATCAGTGCTTTTTTTTCTCTCATGCAGTTGAAACCTGAATAACTCATGTGCGGAATTTTCTTGCGGTCCCTCTATGAAACAAGGCGCCAAATTGGAGCCGAAACTGTAATCCAATCGGCGCATCACCGGGACGCGCCGACACAAACGAAAGTTAAAACCGATTCCCGCGAAAGGGGTATCCTAAAATAAAACGCGAAACGAATTGGCGAAACAAAGACCCCGAGGCCAAAAAAGGAGAGCGATCCCCGGAAACGGGATAAAACAAATCGCCGAAAAAGTCGGCGCCACCCTTTTTGACAGGGGGACATCGACTCCTCTAAAAANAAATATTGAAGAAAGTGTCTGTAACTTGAGATATTGTCCTAATGTTAGGGCAGACTTTTTAAATCTTGAGTGTGCCTAAGTTGAATGTCCGTATGTCGGGGTCCTACTATCTTCTCACTTCTACTCCACGGAAGAAAACGACGTCATGATGAAGAAAACACCGGGTGCCGAAATGATGTCACTGTCGTATCCCCTTTTTTTCTGGTACATTGCATAATAAAAGACAATAGAGAAGTTATGGAATATCACTATTGGGGACGAGAAATGAAGCATAATAAGAACCGATCCTTGTCCCGACGGCCGGAAGATCCGTCCTGCAAATCTCAGTTAAAATGAGTTGTGTGCTTTGATCCAAATAGCGATTGAGGTGATTGGAATTTATCCCAATCAAGGTATTCGTCGTGACTCCAGCCGTTGTGATGGCCCGCACAACTGGGCCACCAGCATCACCCTGGAACGTGAGAAAAGAATGTTACCGTTCGTATTTGATTCAATAGTAGTTGAACAATAAAATGTTATCACAGCAAATGGCATCAAGAAAGTTTCTCAATATTTCTAGAAATATTGGAAGTACTGTATCAGTATCTTGAGACATTGTCCAGATGTTGAGACAGACTTTATCTATTTTGAGTGTGCCTAAGTTACATCAAAATTTTTCAGTGTAACAAACTTGTTCCCAAGTCCCAGCAGAATGTCCATAGAGTACAGGTGGTAACCCACAATTTGACCCTAATCCATTGCTGTGCTAGAGTTGAATGGCAAGACAACATCAAATGCAATGTTTTCTACATTAAATTTGACATTTTGCCTCTTTCTGCAGGTCAAATTACAAGGCAAAGTTTAAATTGCGAGTTGACCTCCTTGCAAATTTGATCGACAAATTGTGGGATGTCAAATTGCAAGGTACAGTACCATCGGTAGAGGTTAAAACAATCTTGTTGAAACAAAACTTCCCAATTCCAGCATAAAACATTCTCTTGGGAATGTTTATTGGATTCTCCAGATGGAAATTTCCTGACAAAGGCAGGTATGCAGTCTGAAATGTCTGATCCAAAATGTGACTGACTGATTTTTGTTTCATGAATGGAAGCTTTAATCATTGAAAAACATATTTCCAAGTGGTTCCATGCATCATCCTCCCAGAATGAAGAGATTGGTGCAACCCATGGAATGTATCATTGAAACTGATTATTCTTTGCAGAAGATCGCTCACTTTTTCAAAAAATAATAAAAAAACCTGAGTATGCCAGAAAATCAGGATCTAACTCATTTTAGGCAGGTCTGATCTGAAAATTTTGTCCAGTCAATAATTTTGAAATCTCATCATAAAAACTTGTTCAGTGCAAAAGCCTTCTTTTTGATTGGATACCCAAAGGTTTGTTGTGACAAAATTTGACTGTATTTTATTTTTTGCTTACGTAACAAGGTGTTTCAGAAGAATCTCCGCCATAGCAAATGTTGGTGGTTTGGATCGTGTCTGCTTCTGCCGCAGTACTGCCTGATGTCCACCTGTCCCTGCAGGTCTGCAGGTTCACCACGGGTACTACCCCACTTCGGAGTTCACTGGAGTAAGCTGGATGCAGAAGAAGGAACACATTATACTGTAGTGATACCCATCAGTGCTTTTTTTCTCTCATGCAGTTGAAACCTGAATAACTCAAACCCTTAGAAACAATGTACATTATTGAAAACCTCTCCAACTGCTCTCTCTAGCCTCCCAAACTTTTAAAAGTAAAATTATAAGAATTGATCAAAAGCTGGAAATGAGACTTCGGATGTTGGATGCTTCTTCATTTTTAAAGGCCACTTTCTGCAGAATGAACTGCCTCCTATATTTCAAAAAACAAGCCGCATTTTTCTGAATTCGGATTCTTATTCTCAATGCTTGAAATTTTTTTTAAATGCAGGACATAAAATTCAACAAAATTTGGAAAGAACCCGAAAAATGCACGAAAATGCAACGAAACGAGTTTTGCTTTGCTAGCTATTTTAAAATAGTTGTGTCAGCCCAACATCGAAACAACCATCTTACGATTTTTCTTCGTTTATAAATGCATAATGTTCAGTCCATTTTCAAAGTCTCGTCTTCAAGTTTTTGAGACTACAATGAGTGAAGGCAAAAAATATGCTTACTGCTGACTTTCTTGTATTTGCCCCAACCAGAAATGGTAACATCCAGACCGTCGTGATTCGTCAACGTGTTGGTTTCTACTGAGATGAGGCCGATGTTGGTTGTCAAAGTTGCTGGAGTTTTCAGTTTGAGTAACGCAATATCGTTCAGTAAAGAGTCTCTGTTGAAATTCGGGTGAACCAAGGCATCGGCGTCTGAGAACTGTTGTCCGTTTTCAGGTTTCTTGGCATTGAGATCCCCCAGAGCAACTTGAATTCTCTCTGGATAATAACTTTTGGGAGGAAAAACGACAGTGAAATTATGTAGGGATGGACCACTGCAAAAGCAGCGACATCTGTCCACGAATGAAAGTATGCTTTCTCAAAGTAAACTTGACTCCAAGTTCATGCTACAGTATCACACTCCTGATGGAGGTCTATATTTTTATGACATGCTTTTTTGTGTAAAAGTATGTAACGAATGCGGGAAAGCGTACGCGAACTTTTTCTGATGTAAGTTTTCAAATGACTGCAATTTTCATGAAGTTCATCAGCTCAGAGGACATTTTAAACGAAATATTATCACTATATAATTTTATTTCCATCTCCTATTTTTACGGGTGTTGTTTTGGAGATGGATCAAGCTTTTATTGCTACTTCTTCCAACAGTGCTTGGAATTGCGACTACATTTTTTAAAAATAAGAAAGCTTACTTGGTTTTGCGTTGTACAACGCATTGTCCAGCCGTGATTACGTAATTCACTGTCACCAGAGCACCACTACAAGTGTAACGAGCAAAGTTGTAGGGCTGGGGGCCGAAATCGACGTCTATTCGTGCGAGATAATTGAAATCCGCTCGATTCGTGACAATTGCCCCAGCAATTATCTTGGGCTGGCCTGTATAAAGAAAGATATAGGGTCAATTGAAAGAAATGCTTCAATGCTTTCGCGAATTTCCGTTGATTTTTGTGCGGTGACTTGCAACAATTGTTTCTCGACTGAAATTTATATTCGTCGAAAAATGTGTGGCAATCAGACAAATTTCCATTCAAATGCAGGTTCTTGGTCTATTTTAGAGAAGTTCACTTATTGAAAAATTAAATTTTGGCAATTTCTTGAGTGCTGGGTACATTTTCTCGAATCTATTTTCGCTTGGAATTTTTGCTTTACACCTGTTCCCAATATCTTAAATTACAACTTCTTAGATTTCCCCTTCCCCTGAGGATTATTTTAGAGAAAACGTGACCTTACTAAACAGTACAGTTGTGAAACTCGTTCTTTCACTCAGAAGTGGACGAAGGTCTCAACATTTCAACGCATTTGGAATTATTTCGCGATCTTGATTATGATTTTTATTGATTGACGGTGAAACAATTCATTTTTTCGCTGCAAGTCACGATGGAAATTAAAACTTGTGAAAAATGTCCATTTTGCGATTCTTGATCCAATTTAGTGAGGTCCACTCATTGAAATTTTAAAATTCGGTGATTTTTTGGTAGCTGAGTACATTTTCTCATTACTTTTTCTCTGAAAACTTCAACTCATCTGGGAATTTTTCCTGGACAATTTTTTTTATAAGAAAAACTGAATTTCGCTTCCCAGATTATTTTTCCTGAGGGTTATTTGAAGAGAAAAAAATTGCATCATTGGACAGTCAAGTAACTCACGTTCGTTTGTCACATTTTGCGACCAGCAAAATGCTCCGAAAAAGTCGAGAAGCAGTAGGAAAACACTGAGTAACTTTTTCATGTTAACGCGTCACTGGAATTCATCCAAGCGACAAGCAAGGACTGACGTAGTTTGGAACACTGACACATAAATACTACAACGCTTCATCATACGCCCCCATTGTATTACCCAATACTGTTACATAAATGTCATGGGGGTGCAATGCAAAATACTTGTCAAAATTGCCTCTTGTCAATAGCATTTTTTATGGGGTGATAATTGATGTGCACTTGTGCAATCATGGTTGATTCGTCTCCGAATGAGTGATAATCAAGACTGAACCTGGGGGTTGTGGGCAGTATGTCACAATTTGGCAGATTATGTTTTTCTTTGCTATGTGAAGCTGAAGATACAGTAGTTTACACACTACAGTATTGGAACTCAATTTATAAAATGCTGATGCTAAATTGTTTTTGGTTATTTGGACGAAGAATGTATGAAGATGAATCATCAGTGAATCAATGTCTGTCTCTCTGAAGATTCCTGTGCACCATAACTTAATGGAGTATGTCAGTAAACATAGGATTGCCAGGATGCATGTAACGAAGTTGACAAATCAAATTTATCCCACTTATAAAATTACAGTACAGGTTGACTTTCTTTAACAAAATTCAAGTGGACAGAAAAAATATTTGTAGAGAACAGCTACAATTCTACATCATGGGAGAGAAACCTGAACATATGGGACCAAGAAATAGTTTGTTATACAGAGAAAAACATTGTAGACAAGATTGTTCCAGAGAGTCCACCTGTATATAATTTTTTTTTTTGTCTGCAGTCTCAAATTCGTTAAACTTGCCTTTTCTGTAAAATCTATCTTCACAAGTATTATTGCATTAAATTTAAATTGTAACTTAATAATTGGCTTGCAAAAATCACAATACAGTATCATCCAATTCAAAGCTGGGCCCAAACATCAGCCTTATCAGTTCCTTGTAACCTGCTTTCAAAGGGTCTGGAATTTATTTAAATGGATAATTCAGAACAAAATGGATACAGAATTACAGAACAAAGCCGACGCTTTTCATGCAATAAAGGAAAATGTTGGAACTGCATTTTTTGTCCTGTACTGGATGAAAAGTCTATAAGACTATTCTTTCAATCTTTTCTATTGGTGGGATTGTAAAGAAATATGGAGTCACTTCCTCAATACACTATCGAATCAGCACAAGTGCAACCCAAAAAATGTCCCAAGTTTCTGCACTAATCCCCCCCCCCCAAATGTGATAGAAACAATTTCTTGAAAATAGTTTTAATTTTTCCGCAATACCTGTTCAAAACAATCGTCCCTCACGTTTCTGCTCCCAAAATTCTAATCCGTGGACAACCACACAAATAATGCAATGGGTCACTTGAAAAATCACACAAGAAACAACTTTTGACAGATTGAGGTCTCCTTGTTAGTACTGAATGCCAAAACCACGTCATTAGAATATTTTCGAACATGACTTCCCGTAATTTGCTGGGAAAACGTTCCCAACACTGAACATTTAACATTGTAAAAAATTTTGGAAATGGAGCGCATTCAACCAATAATCATCAAAATTAAAAATTGCACTGCAAATAACAACGAATGCAAAGGAGGCGCGTGAACGAGTGCCATTCAGTTTTCAACGATGAAAGATGCAAATGAACTGGCCCAAGAGGACTTTTGGAGAGGCACAAACATTCCAGATGAACGGCAGAAATCCATGGGAAGTAATCCCGGAACTTGGCGTTGGCTGACTTAACGATTCAAACGTGTACTCCGCACTTTTTCAATTAGCTTGAATTCTTCTCGGATCCGAGCACGCACATCATTCTATGGAAAAATGGATAATAGTCAAAATTATGAGATTCCTCGTTATTTCCTTCATGAAAAGGAAAAATATGTAGAATTTCAATAAAATGGGAATGAAGGGACTGTTGATGTGTTTCAGATGCTCCAACTCATGTGTAACTTGGATTCATACATGTTCGACACTTCGACGAGAAAATTTCAATTGCATTTGGAAAATTCGACAAAACGGTTCAAATTCACTCAAAATTCGAACTGGAAATCATATTTGCCATGATGTTCATTCGATGTTTTGAACAGAAGAACACCGCAAATTTAAATCGCATAAATCACTTCCAAGGTAAAATGAATTCCAGATCGCCAATTACACTCATTTTTCAATTCGATGGGTAAGGAAGGAAGAGGAAGGGAATCCCTACATTCGTAGTTCAACTTACCAAAGTGACCAGTTCCTCGAGCAAAGGTAACAGCTTCAGAAGCTCACAATCCTCCGGGTTCGTGAACCAGCTTTCAATAGGAATCCCATTGTCCAAATTGTAGCCAAAAGCCTGAGGCGAATTATCGACGATGATCGTTTTCTTCAGATCCCTTCCAAGAATCGACAATTCCTTCACAAAATTTCCGTTGATCGGCAAACAATGCTCCCGAAACAAACGATGCCTACAAAATTGATCACGTTCAATTAATCTCTGAATTACGTCGCAAAACTTTCGGAACACACTTGATCCATCGACGATCAGGGTCCAATAAACTCATCAACTTGTCAGCATAGACTCGCTTAGAAGCAGTGAAGAGAATAACTTCGAACATTTGTGACACTCGTTCGAGAAATGCTTCAAAATGAGGACGGGTCCGTACGAATACTTTGTACACAATATCCTGGAATCTGACTGGAAACGAAAGTGAAGATCCTTCCATGGTTTCCAAACTGCAGTGAACCAACGTTTCATCCTGAAATGAGCATTCCGATGCATGAAAACGGTGACAGGAGAATACAAATTTGTCATCAGCGATTGAATCTTGAATTAACTGCGTAAAAGAGCAATCCAGGTTTGCGAACGGTCCGTTTTCACCCACATTAGATATTACGCTATACAAAAAAGCATGTAAAAATTAATATCAATGTAGAAATTGAACTCATAAGGCATTTCATCCATTCCCCAAATAAAATCGACAATCGCACATTTACAGAAGGACTATTTCTCACCAAATCAAGAACCAGGGTGAACTCCGGAGTTGATCGCGTTTTCAGAGGTAGAGCTGGAGTTCTCGCTCGCAATCTTGGACTCAAGTGTGGTAGCTTCCTGATGAACACGTAAGGATTCAGTAATTCTTCGTTCGCTGCGGACACAATGTTCTCTTGGCTTGCAAGAAACAGTCCACTCTCAAGCTGGTCACCACGCAAGATCACTTGCTGGCACCACTCAGCTTCGCTACAGATAACCTCCCCATCAGATACGCATTGACAGGAATACTTGCAAGATTCAGCAACCGTGATGCAATGCTGATTGCAATTCTCATCAACACGATCTACCGATTTCGGTGGTAGTCGCTGGGAAACTTGAACCATGAGATTGCTTTCCGCGACCAGGTGATCGTCTTCGTCATCGGTAGAGATGCCGGAATCGCTGCTCTCTGCTTCTATTTCCTTCACAACCGGCAAAGGGGCTGCATTTCGAACTTCAGGGATATCATTGACTTCTGCAGTTTGGCAGGAAGTGTGCGCAGCACGACGGATACATTTTTCGCGCAGCGTGACGCCAACCTTTCCTTTTTTGCGAATCACTTGATGCGCTCCGTCACTCACGGGATTAGCTCCTGCTCTCCATCTAGTTTTCATCGTCCTAAAATCACCTAGTACGTCGAATACCTTCGATAAAAGGGCCGATAATCGAATCAAACGTGAACTGCGGGGTGACGTGAACTAATGCATACAGAAAAGAACGAAACTTCCGAACTGAATTAATTAGCTACGCGACAGAATCGGGCCGAACGACCTCATTGCCCGATAATGCGCTGAAGCATTTACTAACTGACCATGACAAAAATCGGCGTAAATTGTGCGCCAATTACTACACTTCACAGATTGTCTCGTTGAACCTAAGTTCTTGAACACGGAATACAAGCATCACATGAACTCATCAGGGATCCGCGGTCCAGCCGTTCAGGATAACAATTACATACGAGCGACATCTGTGATAAGCTGAGAGAACCTATAATGTCGCATGCTTTAGTGACATCTATGAAACGGAATTTGATTCAATGTACACCCCAATAAGACAAGTAATAGATAAAGTACAGTATAGTATTTCACAAATGCATTAAAAAATGAATTTCAATGGAGTTAACATCATATAACTCTTCTATCTAGCTTATTGTGTTCTATTTATGAATATATCTGAATATTGATTGCAAATATCATTCAAAAATTATCTTGATAATTTATCAAAAAATAAAAATTATCCCTGGTTATTCTTTGCTGCTATCCAAAAAATAAGGAATGATGAGACTATTATTTTCAGGCCAAGGGTTAGAATAATTGCAGAACAGAGCGGTGAAATCATTTATAATAACTATTTTGATTGATACTGATTTCAATAATGATGCAGTGGCATAATTGTAAAATTTTGGCAAAAATATCCAGATATACATTGATTTGTTGCTGTTGCATGCTTTTTGAGCACAATTGGCAAATTATGCACAGGAATGAATAAATCGACGACAAGAAGTATTTTTCTCAGAGAAAGACACATTTTATTGGCTGAAAAAAGGCATCACTGCTGATGTAATGACCAAGAAACAAAAAGTGAACGCTTGAACAAGCGTCCGCGCGGACAAGACTGCGACAATATATAACCATCAGGATGAGGTCGACGGTCATCATCACCAGCACACAGGAAACTAATCACCATCTCTAATTACTTATCGGGGGAAGACTGAATATGAATGTTTCTGAGGCTTCTTCCCTTTTCCAAAATATGACAAAAAATTGAGCACATAAAAAAAAAGAAGACGAAAAATTGGTGACACTTCATCAGACGAGATCTTTTTTCTCAGTAGTAGAGACCGTATCCCTTGCTACGGTATCCCCCATGGTGTCCCAAGCCGTATCCGTAACCCCCGAGGTGACCCCCGTAGGCTGGGTAACCGTAGCCGCGGCTGGCGTACCCGTACCCGTACCCATGGCCGTACCCATGGCCGTACCCAGCGTACCCGACACCTGGGTAGCCAGCACCGTAGTACCCATGTCCGTAAAGACCGGATTCAGCCCCTTCCAAGTCCTCCTTCTTCTCTTCGGTTTCAGCAGCGAAAGCAGCTGCGCAAATGATGGCGATGACAGCGAAAACAGCCTGAAACATATGATGAGAAACCAATGAATAAAAAAAAAACAATTTAGAAATCACTCAAAATTTACCTATACCTCATTACCTCCATGATACAAAATAGAGGAGAGGTACTATATTTTACAAATGTATTCAAAAAGGTTTGCAATTGAGTTTCTATTTTTTTAGCCAATCAGGAGCTATTTATATATAAATATGCTGTATTGTATTATTTGTATAGCATTTGTATAACTTCACATTTTTTAAAACTTCCAATGGAATTGGCAATTTCAGTGGAATTTTCGATTTCAAAGGCATTTGCAATATCGATTATATATGAGTGCATTTTTATTACGCAGTAAACATTTTTAACTGCAGTTCTGTGCATAAAATTGATGTACCGTATTGACTCAAGTACTATACTGTACATGCCTTCAAGTAAAATGCGCAACCAGGGTTTTTCAGCTGGAAATTTTGATAAAATCTTGTCCATGAGTAAGAGATGGATCTCATTTATATACAGTGACTCCAAAGCAACTCTAATATTTCAAAGATAAGAATAGAACTAAATTTGAATTTAGGCATGAATTGTTTTCATTGAAATACTTTTTATTAGACTTTTTCAAAAATTTATCATTAAAATCAGGTATAGTTCAAACCTGAATTTCTGAAGCTTTAAAGAATTTATACTAAAGCACATATGTTGCACACCCCCTTGTTTATCTCAAATTTTTAGGAAAAAAGTGAAAACATGTGAACAAATAAGTTTTTTCTGGTCTCTTGAATTTTGTTGCATCAGATTCCAACTTTATTTAATATTTTACTTATTCACTAGAAATGTGCCTTAAAGCCTGATTATTTGTGTCCATAATGCTTCTAATTATGAAATGTTTTCTTCTGTACTTCAGTGAAATTATAAAATCAGATGAAAAGCATTGAAAAACTCTATAAATCGATATACACCAGGATAAACTTTTTTTCTGCATGATATTTTATGGATTCTGTCTTTCAAAAATCTTTCAAAAAATATGTTACATGATTCAACTAGCTCCAGCTTTCACCAGCAAAAAGTTTAAACTTTTGTTTGTACCACATGCTGAAGAAAAAATAATTTCAAACTGCAATTACAATCGCAGTGTTGAAATTTTGATTACATAATTCTTATTTCAATGCATTTCCATGAATTAAATTGAATTCTTTTAACATAATTGCTTCAAAAACGAAGGAATGGAGAAAGGAGGAGACAATCCAAAACATTTTCTCAAAAAGAGATGAACTTCATTGGTTAAAAATAAAGGTATGACTGCTAATTTATATGGAAATATATATTGTTTGGGTTTGTATGTGAATCGGGTTCATCAACAAGATGCAGCTAACAGTTAAAATCTATGATCGATAAATCACAAAAATTTCAATTTGGAAAATTATTTTTCGATCGCAAGATGAAAATCAGGAATTTCAATCCAATACCGTGACATATTCCATGAAAATATTTTCTTCTCTTTTACTTTGATGAAGTTGCTCTTTTCTGCATACTCAAGTGAGAAATAAAATGGACTAAAATCTTGACATGCGACTGGAACTTTGATTGACGTTGATTAAACATTTCAAGACATTCACGATTTTGTGCTCATCAAATAATTTCCGAGAAGATTTAATATATTCCATTATTCCAGAGGATAAACGAGACCGATTTTGCAGTCAGATGTTCATCATTTGTTTCAGACTGAATAATTATTGACAAAATCGGCGAATATATTTAATATTTCTTTCGATCAATAAGCGATTCAGAAACACATCAGAATTTTCATTCGGAAATCATAATGTTGATGCCAATGAATTTCATGGTTGATTTTGGAGGAAGTTTGACACATGTTTGGCACAATTGCGAAAAAATACTTGTTTGACTCGTCGGAAATGTGCAAGTTTCAATTTATGAAATATTCAACTATATTGAAGAACATAATGAGCAAATATCCCTTTTCCAAGCGTAAACTTTTAACGAATCTGTCGCCAAATTTTTTCTATATTGTTTGAACAATAACATTTAATTTTTTTTGCACAACAGAAGAAAAAGTGCATTATGATGAATTATATTTCAAGTAGAAATTTCATCCCGTTTCTTCGTGATTTTTAAAATTTCCAGGATGATACAGGACAAAAATATGTATAAACACTCACGATGAATTTCATGGTTGATTTTGGAGGAGGTTTGGAAAAATTGCGAAAATATAATTGCGTACAACTCGTCGGAAATGTGCAAGTTTCAATTAAATGTAAATAAATGTTTAACTACTGTATATTGAATAATATAAAAAGCAAATACAGTAATCATTTTCCAAGCGCCAACTTTTGTCGAATCTTTCGCCAAATGTTTCTATACATTTATTGCATGAACAATAACATTTTATTTTTTGCACAACAGAAGAAAAACTGCATTAAGATTAATTAATTTCAAGTATAGATTTCCTCAAATATATTCGTGATTTTTAAACTTTCCAGGATGATAAAGGCCAAATATAAGTACAAAACCACTCACGATGAATTTCATGGTTGATTTTGGAGGAGGTTTTGACTCGTGTTTTTGCACAATTGCGAAAAAAATTTACTTGCAACTCGTAAGAGATCGAAAGCGAACTGATGTCTGAATCGTGGCAGGACCCAGCCTTTATATACCTCGTGTCCCAAATTAAAGAAAGCCCAGCACCTCGAATTACCTTTTCCCGTATATCCCTTTATTCCTCCCCCCGTTTCCTTTATTCCTCGTGTGTATCCGTGTCCCAACACCGTTTATTTAGTGCTTTCCGATGCCTTCAACCAACCAACCAACCGATCAACACCGAGCAAGGTCGAATTTTCCAGGACGACGATGAACGGAACTTGACCTCGCCCTTTTCCCTAAAGCGTGAAAAAACGAGTGATTTTAACGTCCCAGAGTCAATTTCCGTTCCTTTCTTCTTTTTTTTTTTTAAATTGAAACTCGGTGTGTTTCAAATGAGAAATACAAGAAAAAGTCAACTCCTGCAGGTTTTTTTCACAGTCACGTGTGACGAATTTCAAATAGTCGCTATACTGTTTCCAGTCTCACTTATTTTCTTTCCTTTTTTTTCTGCCAACTCATCACGGATATTTAGTGAAAAAAAGAGCGTTGGATTCGAAGAGAAAATTTCGCAATTGATTAAATTCATTGGTATTAACGATGAAACAATAAAGGCTTGTTTCACTTTCACCGTTCTTGAAATACGTGAAAAAAAGAACGGAGTTTCTCGTATTTTGAATGTTGATAAAATACGGCAAACAAAAAATGGCGAGAAGGAAAAGAAAGCGTTCGAAAACCGCATAATTTTGTTGCTTCGCATTAACATTGCGAAATTACGAATAATTTGTGAAGTTTTCTAATACTTTGGATTCAAAAACGACCGAGAGGAAAATTGCCTGAAATTTTCCAAACTTTTTTTTCAGGAAGATTGGAAAAGAAATGCAAAGAAGTGGAACTCGAATAATTTCAAGGGAGTAAATATTCATCAATACCTGAGCAAAGGCTTGTTTCACACGTTCACTGTTCTTCGGAATGTAAAAAACGCAAGAATTTTTGGCCAATTAGAATGTTATAAAACTATGAATTTAGCGAAAATGAGGAGAAAACGTTCAGCAATCGCAAATTCTGTTGCTGGTTTGCATCAATATTGCAAAATCACGAGTACTTCAAAACATTTTTTCTCTGGACTCAAAAACGATACAAAAGAAAATTGTTCCAAACTTTTTATTTATTGTATTTCATAAAAACAATTGAAAAAACTGAATTGACAAATTGACAAAAAAATCTATTATGAAAACACTACACATGTAAACGTTTTTCCTTCTTTAAATTCCAAATCAACTCTGGAATTTAAAAAATAAGAAAAGCCACATTTAAGTGCTTTTGAAGCTTCAGCATTGATATTTTGAACTATAAATTTATTCTTTATCCCATCAATATGCAGAAAAATCATGATTTATTATTACTCCAGAAATAAAAATATCTGTTACTGTGTATAGAAGTAAAGTACTTTGTTAATAGCTTATGTTGGGGACCCACTGCCCCAGTGTGATATGCACCTCATTAATTGAGGTTTGAGTAAATGGGGTGGAAACATCACCCAAGGACAAAAACCAGTAGAAAAAGAGAGCCCCAACTGCACAACTTTGAGAACTTTTGTTCTTTTAGATTCAGTCCCAAATTCTGTCTTCAACTTGACTTTTACTGGCAAATATACCAGGCCTCTAAAAAATGGTCTGATCCAGAGCAGAGTACTGAATCAAGGCCAGTCACAATAATTATTAAACATTATTGTCCCTTTTGTCAAAGTTGACTGTACAAGGATTACACTCCTGGAGATACAGTACAAACTGAAATGCGTATGAAAGGAACTGAGTCATGTTTGTTGCTTCAAGTACCCTTTATTCACAGAAACACACATGTGAGGGAAAACTGTTTCCTCTACACAAAAGGCAGAAAAGATAAAGTCTGCTTCTGAAGATTTGAAAGTTGGAATTTGGACTCTTTAAAACCTGAAGAATTTCAAGATAGGACTTTTGCAATTAGCAGAAATAATAACACAGTTAAACAGCCAGGCTGCGGCCGGGACTTTTTGTCCTAGTATAAACTGGTATATTGTTGGCACAGACGAAATAGTAAAGACAATCAGTTGAAGTACTTTTTGCAAGGAGTTCAACAATTTGTTGTAACCAATTTTGGAATTGGTGATTTTGCACAAGAGCAGGTTCTCCGGAGATCTGACTGGGTTTGCAGCAAAACGCAGAGTGACAAACTCGTGGTTTTTAGTTAACCAACAACTTTCTGAATTAGAAATGAAGGCCAGATTTTGGCCACTTTCATTTTTCCCTTTTAGCAATGAGGAAGTGTCCTTGGGTGAGCCTGGGGAGCCAAACCTGGGTTTGGTTCTCAGGCTCACAAAGAAATGCGTCGAGAGATTAACTGCTAATTTTGTCTGGCGCCTTAAATTGTTACAAGAATTACTTGAAGTTTGAATTTTTTCCAGACAGCACACACTGGGATATATACAAACATTCAATGCAAGACAAGACAAGACAAGAAATATATTTTTGAGTATTGAACTGTTGAGAATTCCTTATTTTAAACAGAGAACAATTCTTTGATAAACCCCAGGTTAGCCAGCTGGTTTTTTTTTAAGAGTGTACTCCTCAGCAAGACTAATCTGGATTAGATATTGGATAAAAATTTCCTGATCCAGGATCAGGGAATCCTGCTTCTAAAAAAGAACCAGGAAATATTCAGGGCTCATTATTCCTGCCAATTCATACTTGCATGATGCCTGCATGATTATAGGAAGTGTCTGCCTAGTTAAAAGCATTGATGATTCACCCAGAGAAGAAGGGGGCAGAAACAAGGATTATTCTTTCTTCTGGAAAAGGGTGAAGACTAGAGTTAGTCAACACTTCCCATGCAAAACTTGTAAATTACACAAAGAGTGAAAACTACCCAGAAGACATTACAGCACAAGGGGTGTATAGAATACATTACTCTATATTCAAAGTTTGTCAACCCTTTGCACATGTCATATTTTAGAAGAAAAATGATCTTGTTTTCATTTTTCCGTTCTTGGGAAGAATGGGCTACCTTATAAAAAAGGGAAAATGAGTGCTTAATGGAAGAAAGTTGATCTTGCCTATTGATCTGAGAGAGTGCACAAGCTGTGCTTTCTTATGAGTGAGGGTTTACCATTCCTAGAAAAACAACATAATCATGAGTGTTTGCCTAGCAGTTGTTTGGTGATCAGTTCCTACAAAGTGAGCTTGCAGAGAGATTTTTACCATCTTTTAACATCCTTTTGTTACTTGTTCAAATCTGACTTTGTTGGAACTATTTTCAGAAATTTACTTAAAAGTTGATTCAGATTCTACCAAAGATTCCTTGTCCTTGTCCAAGTCTGAGTCTGTGTTTTTCTCAAACTAAAATCCTTTAGATCCACAATGAGCAACTCTTCATCCTTATGTTGTGGTGGCTGTTGTAAGTTGTCCCCAACAGCTACCAGCAATAAAAATTCAAATGAGAATCAAATTCAACTTCATTGGATAATAAGGTTCAGTGCAGCATGACCTTGAGAAGGTTTCTGCAAAATCTTCACAAGTTCCAAGATGAAGAAACCATATACTAAGAAAAGATCAGTAACTAATGCTGTCAATCATTTTCAATATCCACCTTCCAGCAGTGCAAAAAATCTGTAAACAGCTTCTGTGAATTTATCCCTGATATTATTCACAAAGAATTCATACTTGAGCACATTACATTCTTTTGAAGAAATAGGCAAATGTCTGAGGGCAAAGAGGAAATTCTTCACAAGGATCTGGAGAAGTCAAAGAAAGATGGGGAAGAGTTGAACGACTTTTATGTGAGCATTTGAAAGTTTCACTGAATTTTTATTTCTCTAGGTAAGACTCATGAACACAAGTATATCACAAAACGTTTTAATAAAATTTGAGCTCTTTGATTCACATGTCCTGAAAAATCACAATGGAATGTTGTGATGCATGGTTTGAATTCCTGTACTTGAATCTAAATCAAGTACAAAATTTAGACCTGGGTCTGACCTGCAATGGAAAATAACCTTCTGCCTCTGAAGGGTTACACCCATTTTTAATCCTTTTCAGAGCCCAGATCAACCAGGAAACTTGGTATCCTTCATCCAAATCCCACTGCATCTCATTGGTCCAATCATCTTTGATGATGAGTCCTTGCTGATCCCTATGGCAACCACAGACCCCAAAATCTTGGAATTTGTGACTCTTGGGGCCAAAGCAGTGGCTGCCTCAGCAGCCTATCCACAGACATTGTGCTGCAAACCTGGCATCAGGACAAGCATAACAGCAAAAGAAAACATGAGTTCATCCCCTGTGTGCAGCTTTCCTAGTGTTCTTCAAAGTGCACTATGCTTGGAGTGGGTCAATTCCAGAAAATGGCAAGAGAGTTGGGCCATTAATCATCCTAAACTGAAGGAAATGACTGCAAACGTAGTTGGGAGATTGGTATACTTCAGTTTGTCTTGGAGGTCTGAGGAAGAAGATGAGCAGGTTATAAAACGGCCATTAAATGTGCAATAGGAGTTCATTAATTAACTTTCAATGTTTATTCCAAACCATAGGCTTTTGATGCTGTTCTGCAAGAACTGGAGAGACAGTTTCCTTTCATGAGTTTGATAAGTGCTTCCAGCAATGCTGGTGATGGACAAAAATCATCTGCAATAAACTGGCAAGTTTCCTCAAAGGAAAAATTCTATGAAGTTTTTAAAGTTATAATAATCCTTCCTACAATCTAGTCCTGCTAATTGTTCAACATAGCCTTTGCCTTCAGCATTTTTAAAATTCATTTTCTGTCTCATTTCCCAATATTAGAGAGAAATATAACTTTTCTTCCCATTTTCCTGTTGTGTTCTCCCAGGTTTTATTTCAACTTGTTCCATAATTGCAACTGCTTGAAATAATTGCAGATCTCAAATAGATAACAGTTTCTAATAAAGGCCAGGGGGAAAATTGGAAGTTTTAAATATAACTGGGTTGGGTGGGAAGGGGGTTTGGTTGTGGAAATCTTGATTGAACCATGTGAATGCTGAAAAGCAGCAAATAACGTGTTCTGTTCATTCATTCATAGAAACTGGGCATTTATTGGAGCAAATACAGTTGGTATTGTATAACTTTGTAACTCACTTCTTATTCAGAAAATATTATTTTGTACGCTTTTCAAGCAACGTTTCAGTTTTACCAAAGGTCACTGAAATGCCCCAGTTTGCCAAGGCCTAAGTTGGGAAAAATCCAGATGCAGAAAATCCCATTCTCTCAATAAATCCCCAACATGCTAATCCTATGCAGGGAATGCATGAAAAATGCCCCTGGTGAGAAATTTTTTCAGGCAAAATTTTCTGCAGGATTATAAGAAAATGTTTGACTTTTTCCCAACTTAGGACTTGGCACACAAATCAGATTAATGTTTTTAAATTCACAAAGCTCATGGGGATGAAATTTTGCAAAAATATCCCAACTTTGCCATGCACAATGGTGAAATTTGGGATTTTTTGAGTGAATATACTGTAACACCTCCAAGATTCTATGGTGGTCATTCCATGAGATGCATCTGGGAATGCATGTACTCAATTAGTCCATGACTATAGTAACTATAGATTCCTTCATAATTTAATGATTAGGCTGAGGACAAGAGGAACATCAATTGTTGGTGAGATAAGGATTCCACAAGGGGTGCTGGATGATGTATTTGGGTGTACCAATGCTAAAATGGTGCTGTTGAATATGAGCAAGAGTTTTATTGCTGCTGGTGTTGCTGGTTCCATGTTTGGTTACAACTCAAATGCAGCCAGAGTCATTTCAGCTGTCTACCTTGCTTGTGGACAAGTAATACAATCATTCATTTCAACTTTGATTTACATTTAAACCTTTGTACAGATGGTTCCTGCAAGTTGACTTTAATCTATTACTTGGCTAGGGCCAAATTGTGATGCAGTATAATTGTAAGACAACATCTAATGCAATGTTTTCTGCATAATATTTGACATTTTGCATTGCTCTGTGGGTCAACTTGTGATGGGTAGAGGTGCAAATGTGATGAGTCAACCTCCCAAAAAATTTGACTGTCAAATTGTGGGACCAATGAGTTGTGGGAAGTCAAATTTTTAGATACCACTTTTATGAAAATACATTTGCCTTATATTTGGATTTGAAATCTGGGCCAAAGCCTGGCAGATTGTTTAAAATGCATTTTACAATACCTTTCAATTTGTGACTCCTCATTTTGTTTGTGTCATACATTTTTCCACATTTTCTACATTTTGTCATGTTACCTACAAGCATACTGTATATTTATTTCTCATAGGAAGTGGCAAATACCTTGTCCTCGGCTGGTTGCATCACAAATATGGAAGCTATTGGCACTGATTTATTTGCCACTGTTAGCCTGCCATCAGTTGAGAATCTCAGCAGACATGGAGCAGCAAGGATGACAACACAGGCAAGAAGTTTGACTCTGCTGGGAGTTCATCCATCAATCATTGAGGACCCTGATCAGCGGTCTCAAAGGTTTGCCAGGATTCTTGCTGTTGCTGTGCTGGCTGGAGAGCTGGGATCAATTGGCTCTGAATTTTCCAGATGATTTAAAAAAGGGCATTTCAAGTGTTATTGAGAGTTTTCTCTTCATTATACAGATTTTTGAATCCACAAATTTTGGAATGCTTGAAATTAATTAACAATAATTAATTGTTAATGTTCAAAAGGGCTTATCAAATTCAATTAATATTTAAATTCCTTGTAAGATGTGATTTCATCCTTGGATATACAATAATTTGATGTGGAATTTTTATAGGAAATACAGTCAACCCCTGCTTAACATAGCTCCTGCCTAAGGGATGTTTGCCTAATGGACTGCCTCTTGAAGCAGGTTTTCCTCATGCCTAAAAGACTTTTCACATAACAGACTGGTTGGTGGTACAAATAAAGTCCATTGTGTAGGGGTTGACTGTAAACTTGTAAAGGAATAGAAATGGTTTACTGCTGGAAAAATGTCAAGGGATACCAGTGGTACCTCTCAATTTTACCCTAATCCATTGCCAAATTAGGGTCAAATTGTGAAGTGGTCAAATTTTGAGATACTTGGTGAAATTATAAAAAAAAATCAAAGCAAAAATGCAAAAAATGGCCAAAGCAGGACAAGTCGTGGGGCGTGATGATTGGAATTGTGAGTCAACCTTCCTGAAAATTCTACTGTCAAATTTTGGTATGGTCAAATTGCAGGAGGTTGAATTGCAAGGTACCAACCTGTATTAACATTATTTTAAAATGTTCTTAACACATATTTAGTGTCATACTCCGTTAATTCCAAATAATGTGTGAGGAGAACCAAAAAAAAATTGAGGAATTCAAATAACCATAAAATCGTCCTTCTTATTTTGTGTTATATAAAACTTGGAAAAATTCCAAATGAATCAATTTTTCTCAATTATCCCTCACAAGGCATCATTGAATTGAAGAGTTTGGCAGATATGAGCCTTTGAGGTTACTTTTCTTGTTTGTTTCAAATTTTTAATGCCCCCTAAACCACTGATTGTCTAGTTGTTCTCCACATTGAACTGCCGATCAAGATTCCGTTTGCGATTAGAATTTTATTCCTTCCTCATTCTGGAGAAAAAAAAGACAAAATATTGAAGAACTTCCCAAGACTGTGTGATGATTTCTTATCTTTGAAAAAGTGTGATTTGCTGGATGTGATCATTTTTATCCCATGTGCATGTTGATTTTCACAAGCACTGAATAATTTCGCGTTATATTTTTCACAATGCAATTCTATTTGTTTTTTAAATTTGGAATTTTGTACATTGCGCGTTCTTCAAAGTCTAAATCCATTAAAGGAAATTCACATTGTGCCAAAATAAATGTCGCAGTTTCTTATAACTGTTGAGCTGTTGCTGCTCACAAAATTTCAATCCCCATGCACAATAATATATACAGCATATAGTAAAATCTCATTACAACACACTTTTAAAGACAACAGTAAAAGTTTGTTATATGAAATAATTTTTTCTCATGAGATTTTCAAATTTGATGACTGGAATTTTTCACAGCATATATCTTCCTCAGTGTCTTCAATCAACTATATTTTGATATACCAGTATGCTCAGTTTTTTAGTACTGTATTGTTTGAAAAACCAATTCATCTTTGGAAAGAATTGGCTTCAAGTTGTTCATCAGAATGGATGCTTAATTGCATTGTACATTTCAGATTGTAAATAATTAATGAGAAAAGGATGTTTCTAGAAAAGACCGCCGCGGCAACCCGTCCTCGCTCCTCCAAACCCTTCACCACCCTCATCGGTGACGGGCATCTCAACTTCAAGTACGTTGACCCAGTTCGACCCCAACCCAACAATCCAGCAGGTGGTCATTCTCGCACACGCCACGTACATCTGTGATGAGGCGTACAAGCAGAAGCAGGGTGCAGATACGTTTCAAACATTCCTGCAGCAGCACAAAACGTTCCTGACAACATCAGCTCATTTTCTCTCCATCAAACACCACAATTTTGAGGAGGCTGAACAAAATCAGATCTCGCAAGTGTGCGAAGAGCTGAACGCCATCATTCTCAAGACACCGGAACAATTACAAACAAATTGGCTACAACTACGTCCAAAGCAGGGATGTATTTTGGGCGTGCAATTTTCCGCACCACCTTGTGCGGGCCCAGCTCCAGGTGTATTTACACCCTTGGAGAAGGATGCACCAGTCAACATATCCGCAAGTACGCAAATGGAAATTGCTCCTAACCTGCCACACCAAAAACCGCTACAGGAGCTACTGGAAATCAATGATGAAGCAGACCCATACGTCCTTGCATTGCAATCATACGCATCAGCCCAGCATATGCCTCAACCTGCACCAAATTTTGTCCGGGATCTTGAGAAGAAGACAGTACTCCCATCATTCAAGCGCTTCAGTGGAAAACCCTTGGACAAATTCACCTTTGACCGTTTTTGGTCCAATTTTCTTCCCATCCACATCATACCAACAAAATACATCACGCCATCTCAACGCATCTCCCTACTCCTGCAATATCTTGACGGGAAGGCAAACAATCTTGTGGATCGCCAACCAAAGAAAACAGAAGAGGCAGACTATTGCCGCATACTTAAAATCCTCATCAAGGAATATGGCAACATCCAGGCCACACGCCAATACATCTTCAAAACATTTGACAACCTTAAACCGGATAGTGAAAACCAAAGAAAACGGAAGAGGCAGACTATTGCCGCATACTTAAAATCCTCATCAAGGAATATGGCAACATCCAGGCCACACGCCAATACATCTTCAAAACATTTGACAACCTTAAACCGGATAGTGACTCGGCAGAAGATATGGCCAACTACATGGAAAAAGTGATTGATATCACCACCCAACTGGACAACTTAGCCTCCAATATGCCTCAAGTCCACATTCGTCTTTGGCCAACTATCAAGTTTCACCTCCAAAAAGGCGCACACTACAACAATGTTCAACATGAGCTACGCCTCAATCCGCCTCACAAGGCCTCTGAGTTGGATACATGGGCAAGTACACCTGCCAACCAATAAGGCCAACTATCAAGTTTCACCTCCAAAAAGGCGCACACTACAACAACGTTCAACATGAGCTACGCCTCAATCCGCCTCACAAGGCCTCTGAGTTGGATACATGGGCAAGTACACCTGCCAACCAATACAGATGGATTCGAGAATTCCTCAAGACAATGGCTCCACCAGATGAAGTGACATCTATGGCGCTCACGTTCCATGCCACATCCTCATCCAAGCATGCGCAAGACTCTGAAACGGACACCAAAGCCAGGTCCAAAAACATATCACGAGAGTCTCGCCCCCGCAAAAGGAACCGGGAGGACTCAGCCAGCCCGCAGCATGTGAAACGATCGCATCATTCACCAAGTAGAGATCGACGTCGACAAACGTCAAGACGTCGCAGTCGCTCCCCTACACCTCAAAAATCAAAATACGACGATCGCCTTCCTCGGCGCTCTCAGCGGTTCTCCAGCTACAAAGGAAATCAATACAACAACCCGGACTCTCGCAGAAACCAGGACTACAAATCTGGCTGCCCATTTTGCCACGGATCCCATTCCCCTTTCCTGTGCAGACTTAGCGTCCAAGAACGCTCAACTGCCGTCCGCTTCAACAACCTTTGCTACAATTGCCTCAGCCCACAACATAGCATCGCGCAGTGTCCCAACCCACGAACATGCCAAAACTGCAACCAACGCCATCACTCATCCATCTGTTACAAATCTCAACACAAGGGATCCCACAGAAACGACTCCCGCACCAGCGCCTCCAATCGGACCTTCCTGCAATCCAACAACACCCGAGGCAATAACTTCAACCACAACAGAAATCAGAACAACTACGGAAGAAGTAACAATTCCTGGAGCAATAACAATTCAACCAACCCCAACTATAACTACCAGCGAAACAATAATGGCCCTCAACAAAACAACCGAAGGGATTTCCAAGATCCTCGCAACTTTGCCTCCATATTACAAACAATTTCGGACCGCCTACCGCTCCAACCAGCACCAGCCCTAGCAATTGCAGCACCTTCAGCCATTGCAAACCCGGCATGACTAGTCCGGGTTAGTACCGCAACAAGTTCTGTGGCATACTCACTCTTGGAAACTGCAACTATCAAACTTCAACCAAATAATGTTGAGGTCCATGCATTACTTGACACAGGGTCACAGTTAACCCTGGTCACGCAGGCCCTTGTAAACCGTCTTCACTTACCTATACTACAATCAGCCATGGCCCACACCATTGCAGGCATTGGCAATGCCCGTTTGAAGTCAACAACATTGGTAAAGCTGCATTTGCAGCACCGGAGCAAAACAACGTTCAATTTGGAAACAACAGCTGTCATCGTCCCGTTGCAAGAATCCTGGGGGGCCACAAACCCCCATACGCTCTCACAACTACAAGACTTCAAACATTCCCTTGCGGATCCACGCCTCCTCACGAACACACAAATCACATTTGATATTGTGCTGGGGGGCAAAGACCTGGTGTCCATTTACAAACATAACCAGGATCCGTATTGGTCGCACTCCTCCTTCAGCGTAGTGCCATCTGAATTTGGGCTAATTGCTCGCGGCCATTGGGACAATCCTCATCCGCCTATTACAGGAAGACCATCAGCCCATGCAGTCTTTGGCCAACCAACAAAATACCAGGATGAAGAACTAACCAATTTGACCATTGAATTGGGCTAATTGCTCGCGGCCATTGGGACAATCCTCATCCGCCTATTACGGGAAGACCATCAGCCCATGCAGTCTTTGGCCAACCAACAAAATACCAGGATGAAGAACTAACCAATTTGACCATTGACTTCCTCAAGCAGGATCAAGTCAACATACTCGGTGATGGCACTGACGAGACTCCGTATGAAACGGATCAATACAAGCAATATCTCCAACAAATCACCATCAGTGAAGAAGGGAGAGTAGTGGCTCCCCTTCTCAAATCCTACCTATATCCAAAAGACTGTCAGCCTAACTCAATCATGGCTGCAATCCAAAGCAAATCAGTCATCCGCCAATTGGAAAAAGGTGGACCTCTTGCAGAAGCGTACAAGAATCTTTTCACTCAATGGATACAAGACGGCGTCATTGCGCATACCACCCTTGCTGAAATGAACGATCATGGAACCGCCTACACAGAGCTGCCACATCATGGCGTAGCACGTCCAGACAGTGCATCAACACCTCTCAGGGTTGTCATGGCAGGCAATGCCAGTGACCCAAACTGCTACTCCTGCAATCAGCTATTCATCCAAGGACCAAATCTACTTCCGGAAATCACTAACATATTACTACGATGGAGATTCCACAAGCATTTTGGCGTTGGAGACATCCATAAGGCCTTCATCCAAGTTCAGCTAGCGCCAGAAGACCAATGGGTCCTTCTCATACGGTGGCCTGAATGTCAGCCGAACGGAACTTACGTTCCCAAATTCTACCGCTTTCTCCGCCTCCCATGGGGAATCAACTGCGCACCATTTATCCTGAATGCAGCAGTACATTATCTATACCAGCAAGCAGTCCAAAAGAACATACTGACAGCAGCGGAACAGGAAGATCTCAAGCACAACACTTATGTGGATGATATCCTCATCTTTGGAGAAACGCCAA